CACCTAGCATGAACTCCTGAATTCCTCTTTGATCCGGTGTTTTCTAGTGAATTGGGTTGGGTTGGATGCTGGATTCCTCTATCTGAGAGGGAGAGGCAGTGGGAACGTAATGCAGCGAAATGCGTCCCATAGACCAATTGCTTAGAGCCTGCTCGCTTGCTTCCTATTCCCACTTCCAGAACAACTTCTATCTCAAAGAAGTACATAACCTACTGTATTCTTGTACTACATTGCACTAGAAATCTTTTTTTAAATAAATCTAATGTTGGATTACGGTATCCTCCCTGGATTGCTGTATCCTCTCTCTAAGGCACCAACAGCACCGATTCTACCACGCTCTCCATTATTAGACCCTTCTCAGCGACGTCCAAGAAGGCAAGGCATTAGAGGACTATTGGTTGGAAACACTTGCCAAGTACAGCCATAATCTCGATTTCTCAAATTTAGTTTTTCGAAGAATTTGTGATCGAAAAATCATTTTTCACATAATCAGCGCTATTTTCGCTCTTTCTGATTAGCATGCCGATTCCAGTTGAAATCAGAGATCATTCCTTATCGGATGCTGTCGAAGTGGTAAAATGCCTTCCGAAGTTGGTAATGGCGTAAATGATGAAGCGCCTTTCAAAAGGCTAGATAAGAGAGACTCACGTGAACGCTAGGTATCACACTGTCCCGCTTCTTGTCCATAACTCATCCGCGTTACAGAATCCAGCCTAAATTAACTATTATATATGTAATGAGTGCCTTGAAGGTACTCTGGATGGCATCACCAAGGAGCCGGAAGAGGTAGATGGTAAGTAATAGAGATAAATTCTCGGAGCGTTAATCAATCCCACCTGAGGAAAGTGCCCACACATTCAACTTGTAGAGGCTAGAGAATAATTTGAATAATCTGAACACATGGCTATCCAAGTTGAATTATTGGAAGCTACCCTGATATCATGAAGCAATATACTCTGGCCTTAAGCAATGAGTGTTCAGGAAAACTTGGTAAAAATGCTCCAAGGCGATGGTTTCTGAGTGCAATTCGACTATCACTACAAGTAGCTTCGGGACATCGCTGGGATGGAACTGTTTAGGAAAGGAAAACTCGTCTGCTCAGCAGCAGCTTTCCGGTCTACCGTAAATTTCGCGATGGATCGCTTATCGCTGCTTGATTCAATTTTTTGTCATAAATCACACAAAATAGAAATAAAAGTATCACAAGGAAATCATGCATTTCTACAAACCGTGCAGGAAATCAGCATGAGATGGTTGGCGATGGTTTTGTTACGATGGAAAAAACTCAACGGCAAAAGAATAGGCCATCTCGATTAGAGCCCTCGATAGTTATGTCCATAGTGAGTGTTGAACGAGCGACATTTTCCGCCTTTACAACTACCATGAAAATGTATTACTGCCGAGAAATAGCCCTTACTTTTTCCTCGATTGAGGGCGGATTCAGGTTTTGATCCTGCAAAACTCAGAGTTCAACCTATCGCTCGGGCGAAATTTTTGGCGTGGGTTTTTTCGACAAAAGACCTCGCAAAGCACAAAAACACTGACAATATCAGAGAATTAAGTAGTAGCTAATAAGCGAGGACAAAAAGGACTTTAGCAAGCTTTTCAATGCTATCACAGCACAGGTTTCCATGACTAGGGGAAGGACCTCAGGTGAATAAAGAGTCTAAAAATCGTTGTGTCAATTTTGTGGTTCCGTTGAACACCTCAGTGTTGGTATCTCTTAGTGTTTGCTTTGTTATGTTTGTGCTGAAAGATGAAAGGGCAGCTATGAATCAGAGGAGGAAGTGTCTACCGATGGCCCGGTCTGGAATACAATGTATGTTTTTACAGGCACTACTGCACTCTTACACTTTACTGGGTACCAATCAGAAATCAGAAAAATCAAAGAATTCAGGGTATGACGGACCCTCATTATAATATCAATCAAGGTTTTCCTGCAGAAGCATATAACTTTCGGAATAGCTACATTCTTACTTGACTGATGGCGATATTACTACTTTAGAAAAGCGACCCTTCAAGTATTCAGGCAGCCCTCACTGAGCCATGATCATATCACCCTTGTGGTGGTGTTGGTTGAATAAGTAGTCTCGGGAAGCAAACTGTGCAAATCGAATGATACCGACTCGTCTGGAGGGAAAGAAGCACCGCCCGTACTATATTTAGATCAGCGCATCCAGGTTACTACATAGGGCAAAGAAGTATTCGCTTCTATTTACTGAGATTCTGGAAGTCAAATGCATGAGAGAACCCCCAAACGGGGCTGATTGAGGCCAGTGAACTCTAGTCGTTTTCCTCGCCTCGGAGGTTGGAGT